TGTTTACTGAGATAATAAATCAAGAGAGAAGTCGGTTTTTCTATTACAGTCAATACAAACGCAATGTGTTTTTGCATCCAGGGAATCACCCCTGCTGGGCATTAGAAAGAAGGTTTACAGTAATTCCACAGTGGCTTCATTTTTCAGACCTAGAAGCTTTGTCAACTAATTATATACTATCAATTCATGCAACTGAATTAACACAGGAAAAGTAACAGAACTGTTCATCTTCAGTGATTTGATCCAGTCAGCTGCATGAATTGCACAATATGCCATATTTCATAAATATGTAGTGATTTGGTTGTTTCTCTTGAATTGCAACAAGAAATCATCATCATGCGGTTCCAGACAGTTGAATTTTTCTTTTTTGGCCAAAACTGGCTCTTTTGGTAGTGAAGGTTGTTGACCCCTGCTCTGGGGAACATGGATGTCTGTGCAAAATGTAATGTCAATCCAATTACTATAATAGTTGTAAAGATATTTCTCTCTCGAATGGTGGACTGACTGTTTTCAGACATATAAAAAAAGGGTTCAAGTTTCTACATCACATTTGTGTTAGTTGCATACTGGATTGCGATTGGCTTCCAACCTTATTGCGATGTCACAAATCCTTCTGGTACATCCAGATGTTAAACTGAGCTTTTACAAGAGCACAGAGAAACATTACACATTCAGCAGATGAATGTAAAAACAGTCTTCTAGTGTCAAACTCCAAACACCCATTATAATCCACAATGAAGCTCAAACAAAACACTAAATTGACTCTAAGAACAATACATTTGTAGACTGGGACTGCTGTTTGATCCCATACAGTGGTCATTCAGTATAATTCTCTGATTTGTCAGTACATTATATGGCTGTCCGCTAGGTTTAGGTCTCATAACCTCATATTGCTTGGTCCTTTTTATGGTATCTAATTTATTCTAGGCTCACAACTGGCATGTATAATGCTACATAGTTGAATTTCCACAAAAAGGATAGGAATCCATCTGGTGAAAATGTTTCAGTTAGAGATCGAGACTCAATTCCCTCAGTTCAGATGAGGTCATGGCCACTCAGCTGTGTTCATCTGGGGCAGTAATCTTTAAATTAGATGACCTGGAATGCCATGTTTGCTGCTTTATCATTTATGCTCTTTGGTCAGGCGTATCAAACCTAAGGTTGCTGTACAGACACACATTTGATACTGTGTTTACTTTTCGATTTCTGGGAAAAACAATTAGCGCACTGTTGTGTGCATGATGTGGCACATCGTAGACAATAAATGATTAATTTGCTAAGTGTGTCTTGATTTTGTGGCGGAGTGTGGACTGATACAGACAGATTGTTTCAGTTACAGAAGCTGACATTTCATTTAGAGCTGGAGGCAAAAAGCTCTCCCATCCTCTGACTCTTTTTCTCTCAGTAGGCCTCTATAAATAATAAACTGCTCAGATGTATGAATACAATTGTTATGCTCCATCTAGTCTTAAATGTTCCTGTTGTAAAATGCAGCTGTTAGTCGTCCCTAAACTAATTTCAGAGTAGTCTTATCCCACTCTTAAACATACTGCATCATACACTATTTAAATTCTACTTCACATGGATGTGATAGCATGCTTGAGGGATCAGGTAGCTGATATCACAAAGGTTTTACACTAGCAGGGATAATATATTCATCTTTAACAAATTTTAAATTAAGAGAAAATACTGTTTCACTTAAAGGTCCAGTGTGTAACATTTAGGAGGATCTACTGGCAGAAATAGGAGATAATATTCATAGGTATGTTTGCATTAGGCATAATTCCATGAAGGCTGCCATGTTGAACGGTTTCTACAGTAGCCCAGAATGGACAAATCAAACACTGGCTCTAGATGGGACCTTTCATGGTTTTGGCCTCAACTAGTTTCTCCTACACGCTTGGAAGGCGAGTGGTATTCAGTTGGTTGAAATCTGAAATGACAAGATTTATTGGCATCTGGTGGTGTAATTGTAGATCGCAACTCCCTCGCTTCAACTTTCCCTTCCAAGCATGAATGAGAAACCACGATGGACGCGAAACATATAAATGCCCCAATTTAAAGCCAGTGTTTGGTTTGTCCCTTCTGGGTTACTGTAGAAACATGCTGGTTCAACATGGTGGACTCCATGGAAGGCGTCTGTAGATAAAAACAGCTCATTCTAAGGGACCAAAAAACCCAACAATTCCTATATTCAGGTAATTGTACACTAATGAAAACATACCTGTGAATATTATATTCAGTTTCTGTCAATAGATCTGATCCCAAATGTTACACACTGGACCTTTAATACCCATCACTATATCATTATCCATATTAGAGGTGTGGCTCAAGATGGCTGGAAATGTCAGTATGTCTATCAGCTAGTAGGGTAGTCATGATAACTGCAATAATGAAATACTGCGCTATTGACAAGTCAACCGCAGGGGGTGGCAAGTTACTGCCATGTGATATCACATCATCATGTCAGGATCAGTACATTTTTTAAGACTGTCAAGTGTCCCAGAGTGGCGAGGCTAAAGAGACTCACAGCAGAAGCACGGTCTGAAACGCAGTGCTATTCAGTATCCCACAATTCACAGCCCAGGATTACGACACAGGAGAAAGTCACATAGCCTCCTCCTCACTCGCTCTGGAAAAACGCCCGACTGGAAGAAAACACAGACTTGTCCACTAATTATCCCAATTCACCCACGTCTTGCCAGTGTTTCATTTAAATAAAATTTTGTGCTGAGCAATTTGATTAAGTACAAAAAAGAACAAGCACAATTGGAACAATTGTCCTGAGATAACTTCTGTTATGAATTGGCGCTATACCAATAAAATTGAATTGAATTGAATTGAAATTGAACGGAGGTTAACATCATTTGTGTTGTAGTTGTGGATCAATATCGATCATGTTCTGTTGTCCTTGCTGGTGTACAAGTCTGGTAACTTGCTGTGTACTTTATTGATTTAACCATTTCTACTGGATAATAGTAAACCCAGATAGCCGCTCCATCTTTCTTGATTATAAAAACAATTGTCTTTTGTTTTCTCTCTCTGTACTGCTACTCCTCTAAACCATTCTCTTTCTTACAACTATCTTCCTGTTACTCTTTCTATGCTCTCTCCAACAGCATTTGCAATAGTTTCATTATGCACAAAATAAACCTGGATACATCAAACTGACTGCAACTTTAGAACAGTAATGGAAATACTTTGTATTCTACAGATAACTGTAGATGACTGATTGCAAATATCAGTGTTTTGTTTATTTGCTTCACATCATTTAAATGTAAATTAAACTAAAAAATAAACATTTGGAGATGTGTTTATTTGGTGGCAACTGTTGGGTCTCTGTAAATAATGTTATAAAGAGTTCAGTCTAGACCTGTTCTATTTAAAAAGTGTCCTGAGATAACTTCTGTTATGAACTGGCGTTATACAAATAAAATTTTATTGACGTGAATTGAATTTGTCTTGCAACTTCCTCAGCGAAGCCACCTTGGACTCTCCTCCCGGCTCATTAAACTGTCTGCTGCATTTTTAAGGTGATGAGAGGAGCTGATGTGATTGGTTATTCTCGAGGCCTGCCTAAACTCCACCTGCCAATATTGCATTCCTCCCACATACCCACAAGAAAGTATTTATCCTACATCATCTATCGCTGCGAATAAATGACTAAAAGCTTAAGAGAAAAAGTAATTTTTATGCCATATACTGCATGTGCATGTAGTTACTGTATGTAATTTAATAAGGTGCTGGATAGATGCAACTGATGCAAATGTTTATCAGGCTCTAATCAATTAGGTTCAGTTTGACGTGTGCTTAGTTTCAGTGTGTGACAGCTGATAGAGGTGCAGACTGATGGTTTTGGATGGTAAATGTAACATGTTGTTACACTGATCATTTTTTAGAGAAAGAAAAAATGATAAATAAGTGTGCAGAGCATGATGCCCTGCGACTGATAAATAATGCCTAATAAATACTGTATTGACACAGTATGTTGTAAGTCATGTTTGGCCTGTGTACTGTGCATAAATAGGCTACATATAGTACCATGTGTAGCATTGGTTTGTATTATTACTGCTAGTAGCTGCTGTTTCTCACTAGAATGCCATTTGTCATGCTCTCCGACTAGAGCTAACAGATATCTATCAATGTAAGGCATGCAGTCGAAAGTTTTAGAAATTCAAAGACGAGTACTGTAAACAGATTCATTCAGTTGCTCCATCTCTGAATCCTGAAAAACACTGCCAGTACAAGGCAAATGTGAAAAAAAAAGGAATATATTATAATATATTTATTTCTCAAAGCACTACTCCTTAGTATCACATCGTAGGGCTCTGGCGATGGCAAAAAATGGCAGTAATGCTGTGCTGTTGAGCCACCCAAAATCACTGCACGGGAAATTGCTTTACTGTAACTGCCCTATTTAAACCAACCAAAAGTTAAAAGCTGCTGCATTTTATTTATAATCTCTATGTACGTGACTGTACATACTGGGGCAGCTACCACAGACGTAAACCACTGTCTGCCACTAAATGTTAAATAAATATCAAGCAATCTTCCAACACATTGGTTCGCAACCCTCTTGAGAGAGGTACGAGGCCCCTTTTCTATCATCGAGTAAACTGACGACCCCTGAGTGACATATTTTATGGATACTTCATATAAAAATCTGATAAACTGTACAGTTAAGCCAAGTAGTGAACGCAGTTCAAAATTGCATTAAATCTCTTTCCAACAGTGGCTTTAAAGCAAATGAAAACTATTTCTGAGAGAGTGGAAGCATATCCAAAATCTAATCTTTAAAGTATCAGTTAGTAAAAGGCACTTTGTTGCTCAGTGTCAGCTGACATCAGCTATGCTTTTTGCTGAATAAAAACACGTGGTATTATGAATAATATAACACCTGCCCTTTATAAATAATTTCTTTATCAAAAGTTTGTTCCATAAGAACATGTAAAGATACTTGGCACTTTTAAGGACACAGAGCCAAATACACATGTACCTAC